TGGTGTCTGTCAGACACCATCTTCTCTGCTGCTTACTACCCTGCCATCTGCCCGGAAGTGGGAGATCCTCTGAAGAACACTGATGCCATTTTCTCTTAGTGCTTGCCACCCTATTTCCTATCAGTTCCAGATCCTCCCTCTGGCCTTTCATTCCTTTTTTTCCATCCCATTCCCCAGTCTCATGCTAGCTCCTTGTTGTCTCTCATGTATAGAGCAGGAAGCTCTCCTAACATGTCTTTCTCTGTGTATGTTCAGTCTTGTCACTCTGCCTCCGGAGTGTTTTTCCTGAAACAGGAGTTTATTGATATCATTAACTTTCTGAAAAACCAATAGTACCGTTCTCTTTCCTCTGTTCTGCTATCTGATGAAATAACTTCTAACATGTTACTCAAAATCACACCCGGGCCAGTTGTGATGGTGCGTATGTATAATCTTAGCACTCAGGAGGCTGGGGCAGGAGGATTGTTGTGAGTTCGAGACCAGCCTGGGCTACAAATGGAGCTTAAGGCCATCCTTGAACTACATTGTGAGACCCTCTCTCAAAAAGACCCCCATAAAAGGCCATGCCTAGTCCATTTTCCTACTTTAGTTTTACCTTGTATCTTTCTTCTTTCACTCTCCCTACTCAGCACCTGCCTTTCACTTCAGCCATTCCACCACCAGTGATGATAATGTCGAAGGTGATGGAAAGCATTAATAGCAGTGCGTATCAAGGTCCTGTTCTATACCAGGTCTTACTCTTTATGTGAACAGAATCATTTAATCCTTAACCTTCAGAATTGGGTTATTTTCAAAATCCACTGTCATTGTAAACATGAACTCTAAAACATTTTTAAAAGTTTTTTCCCCCATAAGATTGGTGGTAAATAGTCCCAGTACTTGGGAGGCTAAGGCAGTATATTGCTGCGAGTTTAAGGCCATCCTGGGTTACAAAGTGACTTCAAGGCCAACCTGAAGTGCATATTGAGAAGCTGTCTAAACAAACCTTAAAAAAAGTTGGTGTTGAAGTTCATTTGGCTACAAAATCTGTTCTAAAATGGTATGAGTTCATTTATAGTGAAAGATTTTATTTCACGGAACAACTATGAATGTTTAATTACAGGATGCCACCCGAACGCCCATCATGGGGGCAGTGTGTTAAGTAATAAGGTTTATTGCTTTGTTTTTTTAAGGGTAAACATTTTCAAACTCTAATACTAACTGTAGAGCTTTAGGATTTGAGAGGAGATTTTGGACTTGGATTATTGTTTCTGCAAATGAAGAAATAAGGCCCAAAGTGACATTGTTGTAAAAACAGCAGCACAAAGATTAGCACTGTGATGGCCTGACTCAAAGCTCATGTCGTTGCTGTTAGCTACCAGCAAAATCCTGTCCTTTACTGCTTTCAGGTTGATGGCTTTTCTCCCTCTCTGTTCCCTCAGTGATCTTTGCATCTTTCCATCCCTAAGCACCCAGACTGGGTCTTTGAATAGTAGCTTCAGCTCCTTCAACCCTTGTCCCCAAAATACCCCTTACCTAGGCTGAATCTGCCTATCTGCTTCTGGGATCATACTCTTGGGCTGTCTTCCACTTGAGACCCAGTGCAAGGATTTCTCACAGTGATCTCATGGTGTTGGCTTTTATCTTTCTTTCATGAGCTTCCCTCCTCTTCCCAGGGCAGCTGGCCCAAACTTTCCATTGCCCAGAAGTTCCACACCTCACCCCTGTTTCAGCACAGTGCTTAGATCTGGCCTTACTGTCTGCTTCCTTTCCACACACACGGTATGTAAATGATGCCCGCTCCCTGCCTTCTGGAGGGCAGCAGCTCAATGAGTGCTAGCTCCTCCCAGATTTTTTCTGTCTCCCTTTGCATGCTGATGCCCCAGGAGTATCTCGCCCTGATCTTCAGCCAAGTGCCTTTTGTTTCCTGGTATGACATAGCAGTTTTTTCCTCAATTTCATAGTGACTCACTTTTTAAAAATAGTCTTTGATGTGTCATCTGACTGGTTCACTTTTAGTCACATCATTTCTACTCCTGAAAGAAACCCCGTGATATTAATTATGTTTGATTTTACCTTCCTGAAACCTCACACCTCTCACTTTGCATGCATCAGTGCCTTTCTTTTCTTTTCTTTTCTTTCTTTTTTTTTTGCGGTACTGGGGGTTGAACTCATGACCTTGTTCTTGCCAGGCAGGCACTTATGCCACTGAGCTAAATCCCCAGCCCATCAGTGACTTTCTGTACCTGTTTGAACCCTGCCAAGGTAGCCTGGCCTGTAAGGTCGCCTCATGCCAGCTCAGATATTATCCCCTCTGTGTCTTCCAGTTTCTTTCACTGTATCTGAGCTCCTACTGCAACTCTTAAGGCTTGTAATACCATTACTTGTCTCTCTGTGGTGGGGACCATAGTGATAGTGAATGCATTCTGATGTCCAAGACTATGTCTGATCTAATCTTTTCATTTAGTCACTTGAGCTTAGTAAGAACTCCATTATTAAGTCTGGTAAGTTAAATTAATGGGCTAAATATAAGGAAAAACTTCATGGAACAAATCTACAACTTCAGCAGCCTCTACTTACTGAGTCCTTGCAACCAAATCATTGGAGAGAAATAATTAGTTCCATTAAAATTGCACATGTTCTTCCTCCTGTCTTTCAGCCATCAGCTCTTCCACCTCTGTCGTATTTGGATACCACCTTCTTGTCATCAGTTCTCACTCCTCTGGCTACTCCTGTCTCTTTCATATTCTCCCATTCCTCTAAATTAATGGATATTTGTATTTTTTCACTTCATACTTTTTTCTTCTCTTTGAGAATCTCATTTACTCAAATTTTGTTTTCTTTGAGTTTGTGATTCAGAGAAGAAATTAAAGAGACTATAACTAGATTCTTACAGCAGCTAACCAATGAGGAAACTACCAAAAATAAATAAATAAATAAATAAATAAATAAATAAATAAATAAGCTACGTGGCCATTAAAGTTCTGTTAACAAACCAATGGAGAACACAGCTTAGGCTCACGGTTCAAGTTGTCCTCTTCTGAGATTCAGACCCAGTGGGTGAATTGTGACTGGTGAGGGGGAAATGTTAGACCCAATCATCAGGTTCTAGGATATTAAGATATGAGGTGTGGGAGAGAAGTAAGCCTACTTAGAACCTAGAAACCGCCAAGGTAGCATTAATAAGGAAAAGAGCAATTCTAGGCTAGGCCTCATGGGAACTGAGGAAGAGATGCACCACAAGGCCTTGTAGAAAAATGGTCCAAGTTATGGCTGGTTGCCATAGAGACAGGAACCGCGAGAGCACTGTAAGTCTAAGGCAGCTCTTTAAGTGTCTTGTGCTCTTTCCTCTGATGCTCTGTCACTAGCTTGATTCACAGCCCTGTCTCTACTCTTGTCTGCTGTGTCTCTGCCAACTCCCAACGCTCTGTACTTCCCAGTCCACATCTCTTAATGGTAGAGCCAGTCTGCCTCTAGGTGGATAAGCAGTATGTGAATAAGCAGTTGCTGTCCACGGCTGTCCAGTGGATCTTTCTTATTCTTAACCATTGTACCCTGAAGTATGATGTACAGTAATTGCTCAATAAATGTGTTACATTAATGAACAATGAAATCTCCCTAATTTTTCGCTCCTTATGTATCCTAAGAATATGTTCACTTCATATGTATTTTTACTTTACCTGTTAGCTTGCAACATACTTTTTAAAATTCCTTCTTGCATTTCTGGGGCTTACAGATGGTAGACAGCAAAAGATATATGTAAAGTGTATACTATGAGAGGAAGTACCGCAAAATGTAACTTGATCACTGCACATTTGGTGCTTTGAAAACTTCTGCAATGGCTAAGAAGACTGAGCCCCATTCTTTTTACTCCTTGTTTTCTGCCTCAGAAACCAGACACAGGAAACATCTGATCATAATAAAAGACTCCAGTAAATTCTAGACTTCCTCATTGAACAGTCATGTATGGCTAGGTTCTGTCATACTTGGTCTGGGATTCTGTTTGGTCACTTGTGCAACACACCACATGGCTGCCTCTGGCTTAGGAGCCAGAACAGCTGGAGCCTGGGATGCTTGAAGTAAAAATTACTTACTTGTTAGGTGGAAAGGGAAAAGTTTGCATATTCTTACACTGTATCTTGCAAAGCAAACTTCTCAACCTGTTCAACACTAAGTTTTCCCTAGCTGTCAGTATGGTTTATGACTAAAATAATCTTAAGTCTTTTAGAATAAGCCCAAATAATGAACAGCCAAACTATTTCCGAAGTCCATGCCTTTAATGCTCAGAACAAAATTTCATCTCAGCTCTATGAAACATTATCTCACTAACTTCCTCTAGAAGTTACATTGTCTTATTAAAGATCCATGCTTTTAGAAGCATTGGGCTATTATTGCCTCCTGAACACCCTTATCTCACTGTACCTTAAGTGCCTCTAACTTGTCTGTCTTCCTTGGTTGGAAAGCAAGATTGTTGGAAAGCTCTTTTTGAGCTACATATTTGTGTACCTGGCTTAGCCTGGCACATGATAATATTTCTGGGAAGGAAGAAAGAAGAAGTGGGAAAGCCCAGTTTGTTGAAGGATTGATACAGTTAGTATGAAGCATAAAGACGATCTCAGTAACGAGAAAAGCTGAACAGTCTCTGCACTTACAGTGATTAACGAAGGCTTAATGAAGGCGAGCAAGAACCTTCCATCCTTTCGCATCACTGCAGAGTGTGTGAGACGCTAAAATCCTAGATCTGCATTAGAAAGTTCTTTTTTAACTTTCATTTTTTCCCCCTCCTGCCTCAGCCCTCTGAGTAGCTGGAACTACAAGCTGTGTAGCACCATACCTGACTTTTAACTATTTTTTCCCTCATGAAAAATAATACACTTTTACTCAAAAATTTTGTAAAATTACATAAAATAGACATTACCTATAATTCTGCAATCCAGAATCAACCATTGTTAACATTTAGCCTTTTTTAGTGTTAGGTAATATTAGACTTTCACATTTATTTATTCCTTCTTTACATTTAGGTTGAAGAGATTAAAAAAGATTAAATCAGAACTGCTTGTGAGGTAAGAAGGTAAATTACAGTTGGAATAATTTTTACCAGCTGCAATACAAATTTGAGATACTTTTTTATTGATGTTCTTTTGGCAAGTCAGTTTTTTGGACATCTGTTCCCACTTCCTCCAGGTGAATGTGACCCCTCACCTGGGACTTTTCTATTTGTCCTGTGGCACTACTCTGTGTGTACATTTTTATCTTCTCAGGATGTGGTCCAGCTTGAATCCGTGTAGCTTCATAGAACAAGGACAGTTCAGCCTCAGGATTGACCAGAGCCAAGAGCCGATCCCCAGGATAGATTTCCCCTCACTTGTGAAATGTCCCTCAAATAACATCAGCTTTGAAAGAAAACAAGGATACTTACTAGTTTATTCTTAGTTTAGATAAGCACATGGACCACTTTGTGGTCCCCAAGCTTGACACCAAAGCCTCAGGATGAAGAGATAATCCTAGTCCTCAGGAAGCTTGCAACTCAATGAGAGAGAAAGAGCAGCCAGCAAGGGTCATAATGTAGTATAATAAATGACTTAGCAGAGGTGCACCTATGGCCTGAAGAAGAGTGGGAGCAGCTTTGATCAGAGAAGGCATCCAGAAAAGGGAAGAATTGAGTTGCGTCTCAGTGGCAAAGTTGGAGAGTTTTTATGCAAACTGGAGAGATCATTATATTAATGCCTAAAGACAGGAAGGCAGCTGTCTCTTTTGGGGAAAATGCAAGTCATTTAATAAGTCTGAAACGTGAAGTGTAAACATAATGGTAAAGAATGTGCATGTCAGAGGTTGAATTTACAAGCTACTGGTTGTTTCATTTTTTGTGTTTGTTTTGTGATGCAGGGATCAAACAAGGACTTCGTGTATGCTTGGCAGGGATTCCGTCCCTGAGCTACATCCCCAGCACCTGCGGAGGGCTTTTGCTAAAGAGTGGCCCACTATACTTTTTGGAGAAATCCAAAGTGTGGAAAGAAATAGGTCAAGTCTGAGGCAGGAGTTGTGGCTAGGGGCTGTCCAAGTAGTCCCAGCAAAAAAGGACAGGCAGCTGTCCAGAGAAACAAATTGGTAGGTAGGAAGTAAGTAGCAATGGCCTGTGACTGGAGGTGGCAGCCAGACTGACTGTGACTAGGTATGGAAGATCTTTTGAGGGTGATAGAAATAGGAAAGTTTCTAAATAGTGAATTGTAAACTTAAACTGAGTGAATTCTGAGATATGCAAATTATAGCTGAGTAAAGCTGTTTACAAAGGAGAGGAAGACTTTTCCATTGAGAGAACAGATTAAAAAATAATGAAAAGAGTAGAACTTATCAATTAGATATTGCTTGTATGAGATAGGATAGTCAACTGTGTGTTCAGCCAGCCATCCTAATTGTGCTTCTTCCTTTTTGTAGAAAGGTAACATCCCTACCTTTTTCTTGGTAGATTTCAGAGCACACAGATGTGTCCTTAACTGACTGTGTAAAACATCTCTCTTTAGATCCTTATCAGAATTGGCATGCACTAGTTCGCTACAACTGACTGCTCAGTAAACTCAGGGTTGTGAGAAAACGTATTTATGAAAGATTACCTGAAGGATATGTGGCCCATTTATTTTTTTAGGCATTACAATTCATTAAATAATTATTGTCAAGTGTTATGCTGGTAACATAGCAGTGAATGAAGCAGATATGGTATCTGCTCTTATGGAGTTTATAGTCTTTTAATAGGAACAGATGTTATTTAGTTATAACTATTGTGTTGAATTTCTATGTGCATTGAGAGAAAATGACTTGCACCTTGAAATAAGGAAGATAATGCTCAGGTGAGATATGGCTATAAACTTGGATCTTACATACATCCAGTTGCCACTGCTTTGTGGAGTGAGCCTTTTGAATCTGATCCCTTTTGAGTTATCTTGGGCCATATCTGGTGCCACTTATAATTACAGTTAATGCACTGTACTTTGGGTTTATTTTATCATTTTGGATTGAGTCACCTTATAAAAAACAGTCACAGCCATAAAACATTCACAACTATTCAAGACATGTAAGAAGATACCAACTTGAACATTGTACAGCATCCCTTTTATTAAGAAAGAAAGTTCTCTTGATGGCTGTGTAGTATATGCTTTTATACTGCTTTTATTGAACTTTGAGTGGCTCTGGAGTACCAGATTTCCACTTGCTTCAGTTCTCTGCAGGTGGCCTTTCGGTCTAGAATACTTGTTTCAGCCTTGTTGGTTTGACCCTCACTTATGTGAGCCCAAATGTCAGCTTCTTCAGGGAAGCTTCCCTGTCTATGCACTCTGCTTCTATACTAAACACAGTTCCCAGTACAAGCTTTCATAGCACTCTCTTCTTTTCTAGTGTATCAGTTTCTAGTCAGTTAATTTTTTCTGTGTAACTCTTCTCTCCTAGACTGATGGCAGAGACATCTATGAGGGTAGAGACCGTGATTTTTGTTCGCTGTTGTATCTCAAACACATAGTATCTTTCACATAGTAGATGCCTGATTATACTTCCTGAATGTTTGAATGAAAGCAAGAATGAATGCATGTGGACACTGAATCTTTGAAATGCTCATTTTCTACTTTTTGCTTTGGCTGCTCACGAGCTTGTGTACTCTTTAATTCTGCCTGCACTGTTTATAAAATTCTCATGGCATGCATTTGTGCACTAACATTTCCCCCCACTGGATAACTTTCTTTCTTTGACTTTTTAAATTTTTTATTCCAGTAATACCATACATTTCTATCGGGCATTTTCAGTCTTCTTGGAAGAAGCAATAATAAATGTTTGGGTATATTAGTAGAAGAAAGGCAGGCATGAAAGGGGAAATGTTAGTGCCTTTTACCAGACGCAGGAGGGAAGTTTTATTTTGCTTTGTTTTAATTGTATTTTTTTGTTGAAGAGGGAAAAAGAAGTAAATTTATACCCCAATCTTGCAGTATGCCTCTGAAGAATTTGGGGGCTGTCCCTGACTTGAAACATTCTTTTCATTGGCACGGGTTAGGGGGAGCCAGGCACGGCAGGGCCTTCTGGCCCAGTGGATGGGTGGGCATGGTCCTGTGAATGGGTGGCATGGATCTATGGAGATACCTGCACTAAGCTCCATCTTGGCTGATTCTCCCCTGGGCAGGGTGTGGAGCTTGATATGTTACTATAAGGAGGGAGAAATGAACTTGTCCTCTTGTGTTGCAGATTCAGTGGTTCTTTCCTTTGACTCCGCTGGACAAACACTAGGCTCAGGTACCAATTCTTCCCCCTCTGTCATCTTTTCAGCTGTCAATACTGACCATAATTGTACTGGGGCCTGCAAGGGGGTATTGGAGGAGGGCAATGGATGATGTCAGAATTGTGGAATAGTCTTATGTACCCCTTCTTGGACTTATAGTAGAGGGAATAGAAGAGAGACACATCATCTGGGGTACTTTTCTAATTGTGGTAAAAGTGTGTGATGAGTGTGTGTGTATAGATACATACATACATATATAGATAGATAGATAGATATCTTCAGTATATATATACTCAGTATATATATTAGTATTATAGATGACTAATTTGTTAGTTCTTCAAAAAGAACAATTTGTGCTTTCATTGTTTGATTGGTCATTTTTTCATGCCTAAATCTTGTAATCTGAAGAATTACTTTGAAAATAACAGTGTGCAATATATTGACTAGTGTTAATTTCCTATTTAAAAAAACAAAAAGGTGCATGCAGAAGAAGCACAGAAATTGTGCCTTCCTCTTGGAGAATGGTCCAGGCTCATAGGAAAGGATACCATTTTCTGTGCTTATGTTCTGTCTGTGAGAATGGGACAGAGGCCATTGAGAGACCACAGCTCTCCATCAGAGCCCTCCTGCAGAGTGCCAGGTTGTGAAGGCACCCCCATTTCCTAAGGACATACCCTCCTCTTTGTGTTTACATGTACATCCCACATGCTCAGATACCAGTGTCTTCTAGGAGAGAAGTATCACTGCTGATGGTGCGTTCCTGCAGTATCACCTAGGCAACAGCTCCCTCCTTCCTTGTCTTTACAGTGTAGGACACACAAAATAGCACACTGCCCTTTGGCTCAGATTCACCCAGGCCAGGAGAGCTAGGCTGTCCTGGATCCAAGCAGTCCCTCTGCCACATGCCTTTGTGCTTGCTAGCAGTGAACAGGAAGGGGTGCTGCTTTGATTCCTTAGCTTGCTGTCCTTACAGTAGCCTCTAAACAATTTGGCCTTGCTGTATGTTGGTCCTGTGTTTTGAGATGAAGATGATAGTGTGCTACCTGTGAAAACAAGGGAGACTGCTTGCCTATGGAAACAGTTCATCTCTTTAGCAATCTCTTTGAATGTGATAGATGGATGCTCATGAAGTTCAGGTAGTTGTAGTAGACTAGACAAAAAAGAAAGATGTTCAGAGACTATGAACACTGTGCTGGGAACTTTATGTACCTCTCAGTTGTCCCTCATAATTCAGAGCTTTGATATCTTTGATATTTTGAATACATTTTGATACAAGCTTTGATATCTTTCATTTTGATACATTTTGATACATACAGTTCAGTGATGTGAAGTAACACATTCAAGACATCCATCTCCATGCAAGTTGAGAGCCACTCTGACCCCTGATCATCTTGCTATCTTGAGGTAACCCCACCAAAATATGGAAGCACACATCACTTCATGATAGGGCTAATCTTAGATAGGGACAATTCTTAAGTAAGCCAAACTGGGTGTGGTAACACACTATAATCTCAGCACTTGGGAGGCTGAGGCAAGAGGATCACCATGAGTTTGAGGTCAACCTGGCTACATAAGTGAGTTCAAAGCCAGCTTGCAATACATAGTGTGACCCTGTCTCAAAACAAACAAGCAAACAAATCCCAAAGTTATATATATTCACTATGGGAAAGAATGGTCAATTTTATGACATTAAAATTAAGGACTTCTATGAATCCAGACTCTGTTAAGAGAGTAAAAAGGCAATGCAAAAAGTTTGTTTCTAGAATAAAGAACTGCAAAAATCAATAGGAAAAAGAAACAGCCCAGCAAGCAAAATAGACATTTCACCAAAGAGGTAATCCTCATTGCCAATAAGCCTATGAAAAGGTATTTGGTTGCATTAACACTCAGGGAAATGCAACTCAGAGTTACAGGCACAGGTACTACACATCTACAAAAGAGCCTATCTTGAAAAGCTTGATAGTTCCAGAATTTATGAGCATGTGGTATAGTGGCAACTCTCAATCTCCTCTGGTGCAGGCACTTTGGAGCATACCCTGTGATCTGGCAGTTTTTCCTCCAGGTGTCTTCCCTACCAGAATATTTGTGCAAAGTACATGTATAAGAATGTTTATAACAGCATTCTTTATAATTGTGCAAAACCATGAACAGCTCACCTACCTAACAACAGTAAAGGGAATATAAATATGCAAACTGATATATTCCTTTTGGTCAGTAAAAATGAATAAACTATACTTAGATGCCACAACATAGATTAATCTTAAATACCTTTTTGGGTGAAAGCACTCAAACAGAATACATACAGTTTTTCTGTGGGGAAGTTCAAAAATAAATGAAATTAAACTGTTTGTTTAGATATACAATTCAGTGTTAAAACAACAGAGATACTGCACAAAGGAATATGGTGAGGGATGGGCCCATGAGATTTTCCAGAGTTGGTGTGTTCTCTCTAGTGACCTGAGTGGGGCTTGAGAGGGTCCCCTTTCACAGTTACTTGTTACACTATACATTTATGTTTTTATGTGCTTTTGTATATATTTGTAATGATTCATATTTTTTATGCAGAAGGTGTGACTTGAATTGCTAGGTGTGAGATAAGCTGTTTATAGGCACTAAAAGGGTCAGAAAGTAACACTGTAGGTGGGGTTTGCCTGGAAAAAGAGGAAGACCGGGGGCTGGGGATTTAGCTCAGTGGCATAAGCACCTGCCTTGCAAGCAGGCAGTCATGAGTTCGATCCCTGGTACCGATAAAAAGGAAAAAGACAAAAAAAAAAAAAAAAAAAAAAGAGGAAGATGGCTAACATCTATGAAACATTTGTCATATACCTGAGTTCTAGCCACTTTTATATGTATGAACTCACTTAAGTTTCACAGTAGCCCTTTGAACAGACACTATTATTATCTCCATTTTTTCAGCTAGGGAAACTGACATACTGAAATAATTTATCCAGTGTCAAGCAGCAAGCAAGTGGCAGAGGCAGCGTTCGAATTAAGGCCCTGTGGCTCCAGAGTTCGTATTCTTATCCAAGCGGATCTTACTTTCTCTGTTCTTATTAGTTTTCAAGGGGATTTTGGTCCTCAGCTTCCATCCCTCATGGAGATATAAAAAAGACCTTAGGCTTATTGTGCAAATTATTGTGGACCATGGAATATGGTTCCCAGGACTATACATGGTTCCCAAAGAAAGTTGGCAAAGAATGAGGACTCAAGATATTTTTTGACTTAATTTTCTCTTATTGGAAAATAGAGTCAAATTGATCAAAGTAACTTTAAATTACCATTCTGTTTTCCTGAGTAGAACTCCTGGATTGCATATCTAATCCTGCCTTATTCATATTCTTATGGAATATTTGCCAGTAGTTTTTCTATCTCACACTTTACCTCAGTTTTAAAAGATAGTGGGGAAGAGATGGGCAAATTTACTAGTTTTTGTTTTTGTTTTCTTAGTACGGGGGCCCTTCCCACTGAAATACATCCTTGGCCTCCTACCCTCCTTTTTAAAATTTTGAGACAAGTCTTTTCTTTTTTTTTTTTTTTTTTTGTTTTTTGGTATCAGAAATTGAACTCAGGACCTTACACTTGTGAGGCAGGTGCTGTGCTGTTGAGCTATATCTTCAGCCCCTGAGGTAGGGTCTTGCTAAGTTATACAAGTTGGGCTTCAATTTGTGATCCTTCAGCCTCAGTCCACTGAAGTGCTGGAATTACAGGTGTGTGCTACCGTACCTGGCACTCCTTCACTCCTTACTCTTTTTTTTTTGTGCCAGAGATTGAACTTGCAACCTCATGCTTGCCAGGCAGGCAATTATGCCGCTAAGCTAAATCCCTAGCTCTTTATTCTTAATTGAAGAGAATTTGCTTAGCATTGGGCATACCATATTGTCAAAACATTTTAGAATTTTAGTAAGATTTATTTATTTTAGACAGGATCTCATTATGTAGTTCAGGCTGCTCTTGAACTCGCTGTAATCCTCCTGCCTCAGCCTGCCAAGTGCTGGAATTACAGGGGTGTACTACCATTTGGTTTAGTAAGATAATTTGAGTAAATCTCTATTTTTGTTTCTGTTAGTATGGTTCATTAAAATTGGGAGAATTTCACTGAATGCAAGTAAAGACCAGGACAAGATGGACTTTGTAGCTTTGAGGTCTCTAAAACTTAAATAGTAAGAGATAGACTGGGAAGAACACCAGAATTCTATGTGTTCTTACACTAGTGGTGTATTTCCCACTTTTCCTCCTTTGTCCCATGTTGTGAACTCTCAGCCATTGCTAAACCCAATAAGGAACATGGTGGCACGGACAGACAGCTCCAGGAAAGGATCTCTAGTTAGGGCTTCTAAGGCTCAGACCCATGTAGGAAGTCCCCAAGGGTTGTTTCTTCCCTTTGTCTGTTCTGTGTGGCCCCTGCCCTGAAAGGGTCCCATAATGGTGATGGTGGTAGTGACCTGGCAGTAGTAGGACTTTGGCACCTAAAGCTGAAGGGGAAGGGAGAGCCTTTGCCTCTGATGAGGGAACCTGTAGTCCTAAGACGGTAGGTGCCATTTTGGTTACCTTTTTCCTTTCTTCCTTCTTGTTACTGGGCCTCAGATTTGGGTACAGTACAGAAAGTTCATGGTAGAATGTGGTAACTAAAGCCCCAACTTTCTATCCAGAAGACCAAGAAAGGGAGGTCCCAGGAACCAGAAAGCACAGGTTAGATAAAAAGAGGGAGGAACACTTAGGGAAATAGACTTTCAGAACTGGACTAAGGAATTAACCCCTGTCCAGGTCCCAGACTGGACACTTGGTGGCGTACATAGAGGATACATTTGAATAGGCTTTGAAAGTGAAGCTGACATTGAAACCAAGCCTGCAGAGGGCTGGTTAGAACTTGCTGCCTGAACCCACCCTACTCAATTGTCTGCTGAAACAAAAAATAACATTCTATACTGGATTTAACCAAGACCTAGAGTTTCATAATGTGATATTCAAAATGTCTAGGATATGAGCCAAAGTTAATCATCGTATGAACCAACAC